CAAGAACTACTGAATTGAATAGTAGAAAGATTTTTAATAATGTAAATTGAAAATAGCAGTTTAGGATCAAACAAGACTGCAAAATTTATCGCAAAAATAAAAACATTTAACACTAAAGTTTTTCAAATAATTTGAGACTAGCCAGAGGCATAAAAGGCAACAATGGTTCTAGAGAATGACGTCTATTTTCTTTAAAAGGATGCTTCAAATATCAATCTTTATATCTCTTTAAGAGACCAATGGAAAATAAAGTTCCAATTTAAGACATTAGGTCTACCTGAAAGTTTAATTCCATTTAATGAAATTACACGTTGCACTTCTGCATTCTTCATAAACTCATTAGATAACTCTGGCTGACTTTGAGATAAATCCTCGAGCATATCGGCCAAATTTCTTTGCTGCTTAGTGGTTTCTGACACACATGCAGATAGGACTTGTAGACTAGTCTGAAGTTGTCTGTACTTTATTTGGCTGTCTCTAAGTTGAAAGGATATTAAAGAGTTATATAAAATTTAAAGCTAAGGTTTAAAAAGTTTGAATAGGTAACCATTTTGAAAATCTAAACAAATAAACATAAAAGACGAATTTTAGTAAAATATTGAAGATAAGCACCCATTAGGTATAAATTAACATACTTCACGTGCTCGATCCTCTTAGAGAGGACTTCACTTCTTGTTGGGGAGGTCGTTCCCAACTTTTCTTCGATCATTTGCTTAGTGCATTTTATGGCATGGAGACCCCAGTGCCTTAATGAATCGACGCTCTTAATGACTTTCGGAGTTACATGTAGTTTGTCAGAACTAGATAAAAGAGTGTGTGCATCTATCATATAATAAAAAAATTATTTTAAAACAAACTTGCAAGGCTCTGACTTTTTGGAGAGCCTTCTATTTGTGAAAGATTAGGGTGAAATGCTGGTATGTTCATAGATAGAGAAATCTCAGACTGAGGAGCGTCAGCATTTAAATTATTAAAATCCTGATCAGGACGATTCAAAGACGCATAATTGAGGTCTTGAGGATCCATAAGAGGCAAGTAGGGGATAATAAATAGAATGGAAATAGCAAATGAGGCGGAAAAAAATTAAGATAAATTTATACAATAAAACAAACTATAAAAAAGCTTAATTCATAAGTATTATTAAATTATGGTTTGTAAAATTTATCAATTTCATGAACTGTTAATTTTTATATTGTTTTTAGGATTTTAGGTACTTTGATACTTATTAAGCGAATATAGGTTTTCACATCTTTGGACAATGTGCGTTCTACTAAGTCGCCTTGACAACAAGACCAAATTGCGACAACGAACTTAACCTACTTATTTTCGGGCAATAGTTTTTTACTCGAAGGTATGAAGCCTAAAATGGTGGTGGCTTTTTTGTGTGGTCGCAGTGTCCTTTCGTTGTATAGAAGTTGTTTGACCTTGTTTTCGCAACTTGGTCATTTTGGTAGGAAGACTTAGATGAACGCACCTATTCCGGAGTCCATTGTGTGCATGATCATTTCCAAAGTCTGTCTATGGACGTAGTATATTCCAGGCGTTTCGCCGGCATTGTCAGTAAGACTCGCCAGTCTCAGCATCACATAACAACTCATTAAAGAGACAAGTGAAGCCGATCCTTTGACCAAACGGGTTGTGGTATCTCCGCTTACTACCTGGGTTTTTCAAATTTCCTATATCCTCCTCTCACGCCTTCACTTTTGCACTTTTAACGTGCCTACTATGATGTAGAGTGGTGTGCTTTTTTGAGCGACATTCATAAAAACTCTTCATATCACACGCTATCGTTCTTACTACTTTCACCTTTGTGTTGGGAATGTTGAACAGATCATGCCATATTGTTAGGCTGTCCTCCTTTCGTAGGTCTTATCACAGTCCCTCTTTTGCCCCGTAAGATCCGTCTGCTATATTCCTTGTTCATGTATTTCACTCTACCCCCACAACCCCATTTGTGCTAATCAAGGTATTATTCGCCTTTGCTACATGGACCACGTGTCTGGTAAAACCTACTGTTATCCAATTAGCTATATTCTCAGCTGCATCTATCCTGTTTTTATCCCTTATACCAAGTCTATGACTTCCCATGCCCTAGCATTTCGTGTGTCAGCCCAAAAATGTTCTGGTACTGCTTGCTTTGATTGGGTTCAACGCTAAACTACAACGTTTGTGGGTTGTCACACAATCCTTTTCATCGCCTAATCACTCATATAGACCATTGAACTATTCCTTACATTTCAGACTTGCATAAGTCAACTTTGTCCTTATTTTAACAATTACCTGAACTTGTTAGATTGTCTATTATGATTATCATATTCAATATAAAGGCCACCACAGAGCTTATACTCTTATTTGACTTGCAGAAATTCGATAGCTACATAATCTACGAGGATTTCAAATTGAACTTATATTTCCCATACTTCAAAGGATAATAATCCATCGGAAATGCATCTTTAAACAAAATACCGACTTCGCAACCCTGACTGTTTGAGTAGAAATATAGCTAATTAGTTTTTCGTTTGCATAAATAAATAAATAAATTAGATTAATCTGTTGATATAGTGAGTGGTAAATATGATTAATTGGACTTATCAGAAGCCTATTTAAAATTAGCAGCCTGTGGACATATGGGTATGAAACGCAGTGAAATCCTTTAAAGTCAAATTCGAGGCTAATCAAGTCTCCACCTCTTGCTAGGCTGCGCCTATCACAATCCAGTAGCTATAGATAGCTCTAACTTAATTTTCCACACTCATTCCGCATATTTACGATGCTTTCCATAGATTCCATAATTTTCCGCTTACTGGTACACTATCTACATCCAGCTAAGCGTTCTACATTAGATCAGTACACCTAGTTCCTGGTATTGGGCAGCTCTGACTTTTAGATCCATAAGCCCTCGTAGGCTGCCTTACGTTCAGATAAGCTATTGTGTGAGTTAGCAAAGCTAAGCCCAAGAGATGCCATCTAACGATCATAAAACCTAGCGGCAGTCCGATTTGGAAAGCAGGACTGAGAACTCGAGCAAAGAAAGCGCTACTGAGGAAATCATTATTGACTCCTTATGAATTGTCCCGACATCTCACTTACTCAGCAGTTCAATTAGCTTTTTCGAAAGTTAACTGCGTTAATACAAGGACCAGCTACTTATCCGGCCCCAAATAGTTTCTTCGCTCCATCTTATAGGACAAACGCGATGGAACATGATGACATGGAGCACCGCTGCAGGATGAAACAAAAAAGATGTTGAAGAGGATGCAGTTTAGCCACAATTTAACACACCTCGCTTTTTAGCAGATGTAGGAAAGGCATAGGATCTCCAACGAAATGAGACGTCTCACTAAACGCATCTAAGTGGACTATGAAGGGCAGTCAGGATTGCAGCCAAACGACTTTCGTATCTTTGTGCTTAAAGTGTTGTAGTGCTGACATATCCTTCATATAACGGAATAAAGCTCAGTAGGGTTTCATCAGGCCGCAGGGCAGCGCTCCAAGGACCTATTCGCACAGATCTACAATCTCAGATCAGCGGCAACCCACCAGCAGCTTCCGAATCCCACATCTCTCTACAAAAAAATTGAGGGCCCTAAGATATGGATTTAACAAGGAATTTTTCGAAAACCAATCCTTCTACAAACCAAGATGCAATAACTTTTGATAATAATCCCAACACCACCGCGGCGTCGAGTAAGAGGGCGCTTCGCGAATCGTTACCATGAGCCCCACCACCCAAAGCGGAGTTATTTGAAGTCTAACAATTCCCGTCACATAACAGAATGGCCGAGATCAGAAACGCACAAGTACACAAGATACCTAGAATCGCCGTGGGCACGTGAGCACCGACCGGGATGAAGTCAAGTCTACATTAAGCCCTGTTCACATACGCAAACAGTCCAGCTGCACCGGAAACCGAATAAGTCGGAACAGCGAATGCCGAGCGGATAAGACCAGACATCCTTAACACGAAGTGATGTAAAACTCACCGATGGCCAGAAGCCCCAGCCGTGGCATCATCCAGTCTGCACGCTGAGCTCACGGAAGCGCAACCATCACCCATAAGTCGTCGGGTGCCACCACCGTGCAACGAATAAGTGCGGCTCAATTCGACGGAGCACCAAAGACCTTAACTGAACAGCAACATAACCACCTATACCAGTCCTAGTCATGCTATAATGTATTAGGATCACCAGCGGGACAAGACTAGACAGGCTTTGGAACTATATCTAAGACATTTTGGAAAACCTTCCAACCACCAACGATGGAAAGTATGACACAAGACTATACTTTAGGTAGTTCGGTGCTCGATTCGAGATTTGGGACCATGTCCCGTTGCAATTGCAATCGTCTGAAGAGACAGGACGAACGCCTTGCCAAGAATTTTAAACGATTAGACCGGGCGACACCTAAGAATAGACGTGAAGCATACCGATCAGCCTAATAATATTATAAGTTTTTTATCCTCGTTTTGGCAACTTGGTCATATTGACACTGTCCGGAGCCCATAGTATTCATGATAATTTCCATTTGAATCGTGGACATGGTACGTTTCGCCAGCACCGCAAGTGAGCCCTGCTATTCTTAGGCAGTATAGAAGATAAAACCTTGAGTGGCACATATAATGTGGCAGCGATGGAGTGAAATAACCGAAACAGATAGATAGAAGAGGATTGCGGATTAAACCACAGTCCTGGATCAGCATTCCAAAAAGTGGAATAAATGTGTGAAAACCAGGGAGATATGAATAGGAAATGGTGATACTGAAGGAGTGATAGGAGGACATAAGATAGGTGAATATCCGAGGACAGAAGAAATGCTACAACTATTTAGCAAATAATTGGTCAAAAGATAGAATTTACCTGATTGGCGAATTATAGTGTAGTGCCAAAAATGGCAATGTACCAAGCCCAAGGCCCAACTCTGGAATTATCATGCACACTATGGGCTCCGGACTAGGTGTACTCTTTGGGATTTCGTGCCAATATGACCAAGCTGCCAAAAGAGAATCAATACAAGGAAATAAGGCTGCGACTGTACAAAAGGCCACAATTTCTTGGTCTTCACACCTTCGATTAAACGAGTAATGGTAGTTTGTAAAACACACAAACTTCGATAGGGCAACTTCATACAGCCAGACAGAATGTTTACTTATAATCAGGCGATGAAAATTGTTTACCCTATCCAAGAGGATGCTAGAGCAATGCCAAGATAACACAGATGAGGTACAGCAAGCCTGGCAACTTCACAGGTGCTGTTTGTCGTTTGACTCCTCACCTTAATAAAGGAGCAAAATAGACAATCTTGACTATGGGGAAACTGGGACTTAGTATATTTATAATAATAGAGGTATTGTTAGACAATCATCTTGAGCAAACTAAATCGGATGCACCAACAGACTTAAGGAGATCGAGGGCAAGCCTTTGTAATTCTCCATACGTTAGAAGCAGCCGGTCATATGCATGCTTTGCACTCTTGTATCGAGACAGCGTAGAAGATAGCTCATTCTCCAAAAGCTCATTCTTAGCCTTGATTTTCTGCCTGTAGCGAAAGGCAGATTGTCTGTTAGATAACCGCTTCCTTGAAATTCGATCATCCTTCGGGAATTTATGGCGACTACTATTAGCAAGGGCAGATACTTCATGTGTCACGTGACATTCAGGAAGAGGGTTAAGCAAGTCTTTTCGGCGCCTTCGGGACGTATTTATGGAAGGAATTTCGCAAGCAAAGGCATCGCAACGGTTAGTGAGCATTTCGGGACTATGCTCCAAACCAGGCTCGCTTGCATCAACTCTGGCATCATAATCAGTAATGAAGTCAATCAAGTCATTAGGCAAACCAAGGAATTCAACCTCACTGCTTTGATTTATAGAAGAATGAAAGCTTGTAGGGGCGGGTGCGTCTGCGAATTAGATAATTGAGATATACCTGTATCACTCGAACAATCACTTGTGGTAGGCAGATATGGGTCGAAACCAAGTTCGTCAAAAAGCGTATCAAAGCCGAAATTGAGTGGAGGGGGGCTACCCCGGTGGCTCAAAGAAGCCACCGGAGAATGAAGGGGAGGGAATATCGTACGGTGAGTTGTCTCCATTGTGTTGGAGTAAAAACATTGTTAAAAGCAACATATTGACTAAAAATGGGTAATAGAAGCCAGAATCTGCAATACCTGGATTGGTGTCGAAGACACAGAAGAGGAGAACTATAGCATTATAAAGAGCGGCAGAATAGGTTGAATGAAGGAAAGAAACTGGGAGTAAGCTAATTAAAAGTTATTAATGTTTTTCGCATAGTCATATAATATTATGTATATAAAAGTTATTATTTAAGAATAAATTAACATATTTATATTTTTGGTCACACATTTCAACGATGCTATTTCCTCAGTTTGTTCGCGAATATGCCCTTCCCTTCGCTTTCTGCACCTTTACCCATCCTATTACTTTTTCTAGAACCTTAATGATGGTATTTATGTTAATAACGGTCATATTAGTTTGAAAGCTCGGCTATGAATTTGATTTGCCTGTCAAAGGGAAGTCACTAGCCTCGATTCTTGGATTGGCACCTCCTCCATATTATTATCCCTCGATGTTTACCTACAGTAACGCTTTTGAACATTTATTCTTTCAAGTTAACAGGCTTGCTGGCGAAATAGGTTGGGTTTCTTTGCTAAAAACCGGTCTTTTGACTAGCTTCTTTGCGTCCCGGATTAAGAATTTTGTCGAGTCTTCAATTCTCAGAGTAAACTTTATTAATAGCTAATTAGTCAAGCGACTAGTGGACGATTATGATATTAGAAAAAGTCTTCTCGTTACTGACGAGGGCATCACAGTGTTTTCAATCGAAGTAGTCTATTGTTTTTCAAATTGTACCAAATTGATAGACTTCCAAGATATGTGTCGCACGCGTCTGTGGAGCGATTGTTGCTTACCCATTTCAAGGTTTATTGTCTTCTGTGTTCATTTTTAGTC